AGAGAGAGAGAGAGAGAGAGAGAGAGAGAGAGAGAGAGAGAGAGAGAGAGATTTTCATGGATAGGATGACGTTTCTACACACACACACATACACGTGCAGCAGTGTATATTTCCATCTTCTGGCAGAAGATTCATTCGATTGCTGGCTTGGAGACTTACCCGTTGGCGGAGGATGAGAGAGAGAGAGAGAGAGAGAGAGAGAGAGAGAGAGAGAGAGAGAGAGAGAGAGAGAGATTTCCATGGATAGGATGACGTTTCTACACACGCACACACACACACGTGCAGCAGTGTATATTTCCATCTTCTGGTGAGACTTACCCGTTAGCGGAGGATGAGCAAAATCAAATGAATCTACCGCTACAACATGGAAATATACACTGCGACACTTTTTTCTTTTGGGGTGTGTTAGCGGTAGATTCATTCGATTTTGCTCACCCTATCAATGGAAGTACCTCTCTCTTTCTCTCTCTCTCTCTCTCTCTCACACACACACACACACACACACACACACACACACACACACACACGCATACACACACACACAAAGGAGTGCAAGATTTGCCTGTTGACCGAGAATGAGCAAAATCGAATGAATCTACCGTTATGTGTGTGTGTGTGTGTGTGTGTGTGTGTGTGTGTGTGTGTGTGTATGTGTGTGTGTGTGTGAGAGAGAGAGAGAGAGACACACACACAAAGGGGTTGGAGACTTTCCTGATGGCCGAGGATGAGCAAAATGGCGCCTCGCCCCTCCGCCAGCCTGGACCCCGCCTCAACATTTGCGGTCCCACTGCCCGCGCGCGCAGCTGACTATTTCGCACACCCGCCCCCTATCGCGCCTCCGCCGTCCGCTATCGCCCCTCCGCCGTCCACTATCGCCCACCTGTGGCGCTATCGCCCCTCCGCCGTCCGCTATCGCCCGCCTGCACGCCAGCAATTTCATGGGCCTCTCCTCCGCTGAGGCCTGGACCCCGCCTCAACATTTGCGGTCCCACTGCCCAGTTCCGGCGTCCCGCTGCCCAGTTTCGGCCTCCTCCGAATTTCGCTGGGCCCGCGACAGGGCATGTCGTTGGGCCCTCTCCATCCTTTAGTATGTATAGAGAAGACTTCCAAATGATAATCGAATCGCCCCCTAAGTATGGAAGGCTGAAGGTGCAAGAGCGCTCTCCTTAATCACCGCTAAGTTAGATTCCCTGGATATTAACTCCTCCTCATAAAATTATAATCCCCAATGATAACACAAACCAACACTCAATTAAACACAACACTCATAGTTACGAAAAAAATTATCGTCGTACATATAAGAAACAAACAAAAATATATGAACACGGCGTCAATTTTCAAACATTTATCACCCACTCCACATACATAGCGAACATGCACATTACAAATCACCAAATACAATCTGCAAACAAACACTACCGTATAGAAATACATACGCAGAATGTACAACAATTCAATACTAAGGCCGAGTTCCCCACAACATGCATTATAACACCACTAATCAATTGATTTCGACGAGTGCTTCAATCTGTCTCTTGTATGATCTAATATGCGAGCCCGTAATCTTCTGCAGTTAGATGACTCAGAGTGAATTGTTCTCATGAGTGCTGAGGCACAATAATAGCAAGGTTACAACGAACAACCTTAAATCAAGCCAATCCCTTTTCTCAACTCGTTTCAACATCAAGTCATTGTTTAACATTTCAGTCAATACCATACCAACCACACCCACATCCTCGACATTCTGCTTGCCAACTTGAGAGAGGACATTCCAGTCCAGCAAATGCATTAATATCACGACTGGAGGAACTCGTACATCCTCTTGCTGCCCCAACCGAACAATGAGAACAAATCAACCACATCCCTTCACTAGGGGGCATGCTACCAAGAACTACACCCGTGAACTGATCACACACAACCTCCATAGTTCAACCGACAAACAATGCCCAAGTTTAAGTTTGTGAGATGCAGGCATATCCATGGATGCTACTCGAGACTCACAATCCCTCGAGCTTTGTTGAACAATAGCCCCTTACAAAATGATGCCCACCAAAATTAAGCAGATATACATACGGGTTACCCATGGCTCTTGCAAATCACTTTTGACCTGCAACTTCCCCAACAAAAGGTTCACTGCCCTTGCCCTCCACAATGCAAGATCTACAGAAACGTTGGCACTAGTTTTGATGAGCCCGCAACCTCTACTTCCCTAAGCTTGTGACAAAATTACTCTCCTGATCATACAACCACCACAACTTGTGACAAAATTACTCTCCTGATCATGCAACCAAATATCCTCTCGAGAATTTCGGTTTTATTGACCCCCCACAAATCGAACCGTTATATACCTTGCCTTCTCCTATACTGCAGAACTGGCCATTTATAAATCACCTGATGACAATCCGCAATCCACCCCCTTCCCAACTCGGAACCAATAGAAGACATGACATATTTCCAGACCAGACCACAATTCCCACTACTCTCCATAAACAAATTTCAAGGAGCAGCTAAATTTCTCGAATGTCTATCTTCCTCAGAAGCTCCAGTTGGCTGTGACAACGATGAAAATCATAAAGAAAACCTGTCAATTCCACATCCAACACATCATCAACAATCTCACCAGCATAGACCGATACTAAATCCAGAGCCATGTTTCCGCCCTACCAATTTCAACCTCTCTCAACCCACTCGAGTTACTCCACCTCGCATAGAACACTACCTGAAGTTCATTATCATCACCGTCCAACTGATGTCGAACACCTGGATGAACCTCCACCTCTCAGCATTTGTCCACCACCCACATAGCTATACCATGTAACGACCCTAAATCCAGGGCCCTGTTCCCTCCCTACCAATTTCAATCTTTCTCTCAACCCAACTGCTTCACTCCACCCCGCGAAGAACACTACCGAGTTCATAATGATCAGCATCCAGCTCATGTCGAACACCTGCATGAACCTCGTCCACCTCTCAGCATTCGTCCACCAACGTATCACAATCCACCGATGGACTACTAAAACTACCCCGGAACTGGTAATACACCCGTGTGAAAGTGTACCACATAGGAATGAGCAATACACCGAAGTCTTTTGTGATAAATGTAATGACCCGTCAAAACACAGACTGAGAACACTGCTGATTTCTGAAGTTCTGCCGATGGAATGGATGCCTTGCTGAGATTCCCGCATTCTGCTGTATTTTCTAAGTCTGTCTGTGTGTGCGTGCTTGTGACCTGCGTGCCTGACTGAGTGCTTGTCGGTACGAGTGTGTGTGTGACCCGCAAGGGTACTTGCTTGTTTGGTAGGCCCGTAGGGCCGGTACTTATCTGTGGCCGTGGCATTGAGGGTTGTAGCAGGGAAAAACACTCAAGTGGCGAAGCTAGCGGCCCTGAGGCCTTGGGGTAGTGGAAAAACACTCAAGTAGGCCGGTAGGCCGATACTGCACCCCACTGCAGTTGGCGTGAGGGGGGTACTGGAGGCCGAGCAGAAGAAGACAAAGTTGGCATTTTTAGAGTCCAGTAGCGGTAGGGTAGGTCTAGGCCGGTACCAGTCCAACCAGTCTGAGTCTAGAGCCTGTACGGGTAATATCAGGGTCTGCAATGATGTTTCCCTCCGAAACGGAGGAGGTACCGGTTGCTTGGAGAGGCCGGGCGGCCTGGAAGTCACCGCCCAGGAGGCAAGTAGGCCGCTATATCAAGAGGCAGGGCAAGGAGCCCGGCCTCATTCTCCAGTGTGCGAGTTGGGCGTCACGCTGCTGGAGCGCTAGGTGGTGAAGCGCTGGGCACTACAGCGCTGCTGGGAGGAAGAAGCCGGGAGCTTCCACCTTGGCTATGGTGGAGCTCTACCGGTAGGAGGAGGAGGGAGAAGGGGACCAAGGGGGATAGCGGCGAGGTACTTACTGGCTATGGTAGACACCATCTTCATCTCCTTGCTAGGCGCTGCATCAGGAAGGCCCCGGTGGGGGTAGTGCCGCATCAAGGAAGCTCGGACAGAGTCGGGCATGGCGGTTGAGTGGGCAGCGGCATAGCTGCTGGGTGATGACCTCGAAGTGGGCAGCGGTGTAGCTGCTTGGGGGTTGTCTTTGGTACCAGAGGCTGAAGCCTCGGTTGTCCGCCATAGCCTCGGCCTGTACGTGGAGGAAGAAGAAGGGCAGCCATGGCTATGGTGGACCTCATCTTATGCCTGCAGTAGAAGTGGGATTCGGACATTGATTCTGGTTCAGCTGTTCAAACATTATTATTGTTTATTTATTGTTTGAATAAGAGAGGAGGAGATAAAGAGGAGGAGGTTGTTGAGCGAAGAAGAAGAGCTTTGTCTTTGGTCTATGCTGGAGTACATCATCTCTTTCTTCTTTCTTACTTCTTCTTCTTCTTCTTCTTCTTTCCCTCTCTCTCCTCTCAAGTTCGTTCATTTCTTTTGCAATTGGACGGCATTGGGCTCAAGTTCATTCATTTCTTTTCGCAATTGGACAACATTGTATTTTCTGATGATTGTGGACTTCAAAATTGGCCAGGATCGTAACATTGGTATCAGAGCGGATTCTACTTGTTGGCGAGAGTTGACTTTGCTGCCATAACCCTAACCCTAGTGGTAAGGGCTAACTACTTAGGGTTAGGGCTGGAAGTTAGGGTTAAGTGGGGCAGCGTGGTAAAGGGAAGCTGCTCCCACCTGGCAGGGCCGTGTAGGGTCGACACTAGACCCGGCCAGGTTGTTTGAGTGCATGTTTGTGGTGGCGAGACACAAGGTGGGACTTCGTGATTCAATTTGAGAGAGGCGACAGTGAAGGGCACCTACAACTTGAATCTGGACTTCAAGGAAGACGAAGAGTGACTTTAGGGCTCCCCTCAAGTAGGCGAGCTTGAGGGTGGCAGCCATATCTGCACCTACGGACTGCAAGTTGCTGCTTTGATCTTCAACATTGACGGGGGATCCGGCTTTGTACTTTGGGGTAGAAGTTGACCCTCCAAGATGATAGGACACTAGTGTAGAGGATGCTAATTGGGTCAGGAGGACTACGTGAGAGGGGGGTGAGTTCTTGTCATCTCAAGAGCCCGGCCACTCAGGTAAGTGTCGTGCCACCAGGGTGCCCATGTGTGTGTGCATGGAATTGACTGCCTGTTGGGGTTCGCTGGGTTCTTCTTCCATCCTCCATGGTCTTGATTGTGTGTGAGGTGTGTGAACTGCCTACTACCTGATGAGTGAATGAATGGAGTATCTTGTTTGCTATGTGATATCTTTCTACAGTGCTTTGTTTATTTCATTCTGAACGGCGGTAGTCTACAGGTTCTTTCTGGGGCAAAATTTCGTTTTTCAATTCAAGTAGGGACATAGTAGGTCTCCATGGAACTCTTGTTGGTTGGGACCCGATTCTGACTCCACTGGGACCATTTGGAACTCAGTGGGACCGGGCCCAAACAAGAAGGGGCCCTCAGGCCAAATCTGTTGACGTCAGTTACCTTGCTCTATCTGATTGGGATACGGAGGACATTCGCTGCAGAGGGAATCTCCGCTGGGACGTTTTATCAGACCTTACCGCACAGTCCGCCGCCTGACTCGCACCTTATACACCACTCAATTCTCTCTTGCATTTCGCTGTACATCTTGAATCTGATTTGCTGTGTTTTCACGGAGCTGAGGCTGGCTAGGCTTCGGAGGACCCCATACGTAGTTAGTCCAGACTATGTGGCTGGATCAGATCTCTCTGATCTTTTCTTTTTTTGCTGTTTTGACTGCTCTCCAGTCCAAATGAATTGCCGCTCCGGCTAGGAGTTCTACCTTCTCTTCTGAATGATTTCAAGCTGTTTCTTTCATTGGGTTCATTAATGCTTGCGTCTACACGGTCGCAAACGAGAGAGAGAGAGAGAAGAGAGAAGTTACCGGGTGTTGCTCTTGAGGGAGTGAGGAGAGGGAAGAGGAGTGTTCGTCGTAAAGCTGAGAGGAAGTACGGACCCCTCTTGAGAGTCTTACTGACACCCTCATCCTCCATCATGGCATCTGCAGCAGATTGGAAACTGCAGATGGACGCTGCCCCTGAGGCAGAAAAACCGCATGATCAGTTCTTCTACGAGAAAGCCTTGAAGAGGGAGGAGGAAGAGAAAGAGAGAGAGAGAAGGGATAAGGTGCAGGCTCACGAGGCCGTCCTTAGCACCGTGTCTGCTCTGACTGATGAGGGGGTAGAAGAGAAAACGGTTCCCCTCCTCAGAGCCTTAGCAGGGGTCCGGGTTGCCGAAGACCATACTGGCCAACTCGCACAGGTGTTTAAGCAGCTCAAGGAGATGGTGCAGCAGCACCGCGATCAGCTGCAACAGTTTGCTACTTCGCAGCAGGCTCAAATCGTCTCTTCACTCACCTACCCTGCCTCCAATGCTGCGTGTCAGTCCAGTTTTGCCCCTCTGACTACGTCTACTTCTTCTCCTTCTACTTCTTCTTCTTCTTTGAGTGTGGTTAACAGCCAAAGCGGATCTGCAGCAAGTCTAGACCCCGCTGCTGCTGCTGCTGCTGCTGCGGCAAGTGGTGGTGCAAGGACTTCTGGAACTGTTGCAGCCCCGGGTCCGGACCCAGCAATGGTTGGGCCGGGCAGCAGCTTTGCTTACCTCGACAGGAAAGCGGCACAGATTCCGTCCAAGTATGACGGAAAAGACGATGTTGAGTCATGGATCAGCACCATGCGGTCCTACTTTGATGTGTTGGGGACACCCCCAGTCACTCAGTCGTCGGTCCTTGGGACCAATGTGGAACCCGCCGTGAGAGGATTCCTAGAAATCCAAGCTATACAAGCAGGCTATAAACGTATAGACCTGAACAAATGGGTGAAGGCTACGCCTGTAGCCACACTTGAGGATCTCTTGATTCAACAGTATGCCAATCCACATGCTGCTGCAAAAGCAAGACTTAAGCTTGATAAACTCAAGCACAACAAGTGGACTGGCACCATGCAAAGTCTGCAGCAGTATGTTAGTAAGCTCTTTGCTACTCCCAATTTGGAAATGACTGCACAGTCTTGCTTAGATATGATAGAAGCAACAGTCCCCTCTGCTGAAATTCGTCGCCTGGGCCTCAAACTCGCGGAATATACAGATTGGCTTTCCCTCATGCGGGATCTAGTCAAGCTGGAGGCACAAGACCTCCCGGGTGGATCGAGTGGCAAAAGAGCCCTTGGCCGCAAACGGTTTTCTGGCAGCAACCGTTTGGCAGCACACGATCTGCTAGAGGATGACGAGGAGATCCTCGCAGACAACCCTTCTCTTGATGACGATCAAGAGCAAGGCTGTGAGGCATCATGCTCTGCGTCAGCCCACGAGTCTGAGTTGGTGAATGATGAGGAATCCATGAATGCCTTTAAGAAGACTGCCTTTAAAAGCAAGGGACCGAGGACCACAATAAAGAACAACACTAACACTATCCTTCTTCCCAAGGGAGCAAAGATTCCACCAAAACCGGAAGATCCTGCCACAAAACCATGGGTAGATCTCCGGATTAGTGAAAGTGAGTGGAAGAACAGGGTGAAGAGAGGAGTTTGCCTGCATTGCACCAAACTGGGACATTCAGTCCAACACTGTTTCAGATTGCAGCAGGGAAACCAGCAACGGGGGTAGAGGCATCATCAGCACACTCTACGGATGGAGAGGCTGAGCGTGTAAGTACATGTTCTTCTTCGGATTCTGATCCCACTCAGCAACCCTCTCCTGAAACCCCATCTAATGCTGATTCCAAGGCTGAGAAAATCCACATCCTATACTAGGAGCCTTGGGTAGAGTCGGAAGAGATTGACTTTCATGCTTTGTTGACGCGCTGGGCTCATATGAAGCAAGAACGCGCGCAAGGGAGAACGAAGCTGATTTTCTTCAAACTCTACATTAATGGCCGTTACATCCGTGCGTTGGTTGATTGTGGCGCAACCGCCAACTACTTCTCACCGCACGACATTCGTAAGGCACGCTTGGGGATGAAGCAAGTGACTTTGCAGAATCCTTGTCGGACCCAAGTAGGCAACCAAGAGGTTGTCACATCTACGCATGCGGTAAAAGGTGTGCGCACTACCTTTGACGCTGACCGCACAATCACGCATGAATTGAACTTCTATGTCCTTGATCAATGCCCCTTCGACGCGGTTATTGGCTTGGGCTGGTTGCAGGCCCAATGTGAAAGAACCATGTGGAAGGACTCACAATTCATGGTCAAAGATGCCATGGGAATCGAGCGTCCAGTCCTCTTGGATGAGCCGCACGAGTCCCAAGTGACCTTTCTCAATGCAATGCAATTCTGCAAAAAGTGGCGTGGGCGCAAAGTTGATGAGCAAATGTATATAACCTTTGTTAGGCCTGCTCATGTGCCTTCTATTTTTGCTGTACATAATGATTCTACTTTGGATGCTGTGTCCACCTCGGATGTAAGTACTTCTACCTCTACTAAGTCCATCTCTAGTCCAAATGACTCTACTTCTAATCCTGTTGTTTTGGCTGCACCTATACAAACGGACATGCTTGCTCCTGAGAGTGATGATCCCCCTCCGGAAATCCCACCGGAAATTCGCAACCTTCTCAACCGGTTTCCTGACGTCTTGGCCGAACCGCATGGAGTCCCCATGCGTCCGGTCCGACACAGGATCGAGTTGATTGAAGGTAGCACTCCTCCAAAGGGTTGTGTCTATCGAATGGGCTCAGGCGAATTGGAGGAGTTGCGACGGCAAATTGATGATATGATTGGGAAGGGATGGATCAAACCAAGTGAGTCTGCGTTTGGTGCACCGGTGCTGTTTGTCCCTAAGAAAGGAGGTAAGTTGCGGATGTGTATTGACTACCGCGGGTTGAATCGGATCACGAGAAAGAATGCATATCCTTTGCCACGTATCGATGATTTGCTTGATGTTGCAGGTGGGTGCTAAGTCTTCAGCAAGATCGATCTCAAGTCTGGCTACCACCAGATTGAGGTCGAACCTGCAGACCAGCACAAAACTTCATTCAGGACTCGCGATGGGTTGTACGAGTTTACAGTTATGCCCTTCGGTCTTACGAATGCACCAGCCACCTTCCAAAGTCTCATGGACAAAGTGTTTTGCAATCAGATCAACCGATTTGTTGTTGTATATCTTGATGACATTCTTATCTTCAGCAAATCAATGGAGGAGCACATGAGACACCTTGAGGAAGTGATGCAGATCCTCAAGGACGCGCAGCTCCATCTCAACTTGGAGAAATCTGAGTTTGGAAGGGACAGCGTCATCTACCTTGGACATCGGTTGTCTGCTGCAGGCCTAGAGCCCGAGGCAACCAAGGTTGAGGTCATCCAAAAGTGGCCCCAACCTGCAAATGTCCGCGAGTTGCGTTCTTTTCTTGGTCTTGCGTCGTACTACCGTAAGTTTGTGCCTAAATTTTCTATCATTGCCCGTCCATTGTCTAGACTAACCAGCAAGAATGTGTCCTACACATGGGATGAGGAGTGCACGACAGCCTTTGAAGCACTAAAGGAGGCTTTGGTGAGTCATCCAGTGCTCCGCATTGCAGATCCCAAGCTTACATTCGTAGTAACTACGGATGCAAGTTTGTATGGGATTGGTGCAGTGCTGCAGCAAGATGATGGTGATGGTTTACGTCCGTTGGAATACTACAGCAAACGCATGCCCAACCACAAGGTAGCTGCCTCCACTTACATGAGAGAGCTCTATGCCTTGAGCGAGGCACTGGACCATTGGAAACACTACCTCTTGGGTCGCCATTTCAAAGTGTTCTCGGATCATGAGACTTTGAAGTGGATTCAAACACAGGTAAACCCATCAACTACGCTGACCCGTTGGCTGCATGAGATTGATGTGTATGATTCGAACTCGAACACAAGAAAGGCTGCTATAATCGTGTTGCGGATGCTTTGTCTCGCCACCCTGAGTACATGACTTGTCTAGTGGGTTCCTACAATCTTCGCAAGGACTTACAGAAGGAACTCATTGAGCACACTGCCAACGATCCGGAACTCAGTCCCATCCTTGAGCAGATTCGGGCTGACCCTAGTAGTCAGCCTGATTTCCATGAATGTAAGGGCCTTCTCTTCCGACGCTACGGTAAGCATGACCGGTTGTGTGTACCCAACCATGAGCCAATCATCACTCACTTCTTGGATTTCGCTCATGGCCGGAGTGGACATTTCGGTGTTGAGAAGACATATGGGAATCTGTTGGAAAAGTTTGTGTGGCCTGGTATGAAAAGGATGGCGCAAAGGTTTGTGGCTGAGTGTGAAGTTTGTCAACGCATTAAGCCGTCTCGGCAGAAGCCTTATGGGCTGCTGCACCCTCTTCCTATTCCTGACGGTCCGGGGGAGTCTGTTTCTATTGACTTCACGAACATGGGGAAGAAGAGCAGAAATGGTTATTCCCAAGTTATGGTGATTGTCGGTCGTTTTTTGAAGTTTTTGAATCTGATTCCACTACCACCTCACGCCCCAACTGACCTTGTTATCAAAGAGTTTCACAAAAGATACATTCTGCAGTGTGGGCCCCCGAAAACTCTTGTGAGTGACCGGGACACTAGGTTCATAAGCGCAGAATGGAAGGACTTCACCTCCCAAGTCTATGACATGAAACTCAAGATGACATCTGGTCGACATCCCGAAGCCAATGGACAGGCCGAGGAGATCAACCAGACGGTGATCCAACTTCTCCGAGCCTTAATTGTGCCTGATCAGAACTCTTGGAATGAGGAATTGTCGATCGTGCAAGGGTTGTATAACAACTCCATCCACTCTTCCATCGGGATGACGCCTAACCGACTGCATCTTGGATGGAAAATTCGCAATCCTCTATCCTACCTGTTCCCCGAACAACCTCCTGGTCTGACACCTGGCCACCCAGGCTACAGCGCTAAATACGATCGGTTGCTCAAGGTTGCTGTCGCAGCTATGGAAAGGCGACGCAGTGCCATGAT